GCTATATAAATAAAATTGAATTGAATTGAAGGATAAGTCTTTAGTGCTCAATCACTAACAAACAAAACTTTCCTTCTTCACTAATCAGGAACTGCATCTAATCCTTGTGACAGGGAGCTGGTGTGTCCAGCTGTTTTACGGAACCTTTACCTTCAGACTGTGAATATCTTAATTTAAATATCTTTTCTTTTTTTAAAGGATTTTTAACAGTTGTTGTGCCAGCCTGTTTTAAACATGCTGTTGTACAGCCTGTATTTAAAAAACCTAATCTCGAGTCCTCTTCTCTCCCAAATTTCAGGCCTATTTCAAAGCTTAATTTTCTATCAAAAATTTTGGGAAAGATTGTATTTGTTCAACTGCAATCTTTTGTAAATGGACACTATGTTCTTGAGAGGTTTCAGTCTGGTTTAAATTCTCTTCACAGCACTGAAACTACAATTTTAAAAGTTCTTAGTGATCTTTTATTAGCCACTGACTCAGGAGACAGCTCTGTTTTTGCTTTTGGATCTGACCGCTGCCTTTGATACTGTTGACCACAGCATCTCGATCTCATGATTGGAGCATTGCAGCATCAAGGTCATTCCATCAGAGTGGTTCAGGTCTTACCTGTCTGACAGGACTTTCTCTGTGAGCTTTGGAGATTTTATCTCTTCCTCAGCTCCCCTTACTTGTGGTGGCCAATTTTATTATCTATTTATATGCTGCTTCCAGGTCTATTTTTTGGAAAATATAACATGTTTCCATTCATATGCCAATGACACTCAGATCTGACTTCAATTGAACAGAAACTGTTCTGCCCTACCTGAACCCTTACTTCAGTGTCTTGGTGAAGTTAAAGCCTGGATGTCTTCTAACTTTAATGAGAACAAAACCAAACTGATAATTTTTGGACCAAGTTGCAATCCCAGCACGTCTCTTGTTAACCTGCACAGTATTGAGCCTTTTATTAAATTGCATGCCAAAAATGTGGGGGTTATAAATGGCAGAAAGTTCGCATTTGAAAAAAACAGATTAGCCCAGTTGTACAGCGGTCTTTTTTCAACCTTATATC